CAATTCCAAATACTTCAGTTTTCATGCTTCTCCAAAAACTTTGCAGAATGAAGTTCTTAGCCATATAATGGTCCTTCTTTAACTAAGCTAATGTGATAACCACTAGCCAGATGTGACTACTGAGCATTTGAAGTGTGGCTAGTCCGAAATGAGATGTGCTGTAAGTGCAAAATAAATACTGGATTTTGAGGATTTAATACGAAAAAAGAATATGTAACATCTCTATTTTTATACTGATTATATGTTGCAATAACATTTTGTATATTTTGTCTTAAATAACATATATTAAAATTAATCTCATCTCTTTTTTTTTTTTAAGTGGCTACTAGAAAATTCAAAATTACATACATAGCTTACAATATATTGCTGTTGGAAAGCACTGTTCTATAAAACTTCTTACATCTTGGTCAATATAATTCATCTAAACACTAATCTAAGAAACGTCTGATCTATGCAAACACACCTTGTTCTTAGAAATTAACAATCAGTTTGTCTTTTGGAGGTTACCTAGTCTTCTCCGAGGATTTTGGCCATTCACTCACTGGCATTTTTCCTCTCCCATCCTAAACAGTGTTCTTTATCTCCTCCATCTGAAACATCTGCAAAATTATTGGACGCCCTTAAGATGGTTGAGCTCAGGACACAAAAACCTCCCAGATCAATCAGTTCCTAGAGCACAAGCTGGGTGAGGGTATTAACTACATTCTCTGTTTTCCCCATGCACCTCCCACTCCCAAAAACCTGGGCAAGAGGGAGCTGAAAAATGAAAGGCAAGAAGGAGATGTCGTAGCACAATCCTTAAGTCCCCAACTAGAATGTCTTTGCTCTAATCATTTTTGCCCACTGAATCCCCTTGCTTTTCACTCACCTCCCTAGACCCTGACACGCTGGTATAATAGACTTTATTGGAGCTCGTTGTTTCCACTCCGAGGCTACTTTGCAGAAGTAACCCAGAGTTATCCACTTCACTGCTGCTTTTGGCTCAGCTACAAGACGCAAAATCCCAGCGCGCGGCCCTGCCCTTCTCCAGGTCCGTTGCTAAGGGCCAGCGGCCCGTGCAGTCAGGATTGGCTGGGAAACAAGTGCCTTTGCGGCGCAGGGAGTGCCCATTCTGAACTCTAGGAGCCTAGTGACCAGGAGGCAGTAGCCCCCACCGGCCTGGGGGGAGGGGCTGAAGTCTCAGGGGTGATAAACTCCAGTTAAGGCCTCTTTTCTCTCCTCATCTGCGAGGCCCAGGGAAGGAGGTGGGGAAGAGCAAATGGACTCTGCATTTCTGCTGCCCCTTCTCCCATCTCCCTGCTTGAGAATGGTGGTGAGCACGAGCTTTCCTGCTTGGTAACCGCGGCCGCGAATGAAGGACCCAGACACGTGAGGCAGAAAATGGCCAAAATACAATATAATGAGTGAAGAAGAGAGATAAATTAAAACTAGTGTTGCCTAGGTTTGAGGGATAGAGCAAATGGTGCCGATGCTTACCTGGACTGAACTGGACCACCATAGCAACCTTTGTTACCTTTTCTCCTAGCTCAGGGAGATGCCTTCTTTCCCTCTCCAGCCCCCCTCCTTTCTTGATGACTTGCTTTGCCAGGCACCCTCTCCTTCTGGGTGTTGACCTTTTGGTTTGTGTAATAGTGAGTGTAATAGTCTCTGACTCTCATAGCACTTCCTCTCCCCCTTGTGTAATTCCATGACCTCAGCGCTTTAATGTCTGCTTCCTCTTCAATGCATTCAGTAGCTCATTATTCCAGCCTTTGTTTTCGAGTTTTAGCATTTCCCAGTAGTTGAAGACAGCGATAATATTTACAGGATTTTGGGGGTTTGCTATGAATGGGCAATGGAAAATGAGAGCGAAAGGCCAAAGAACCTCAGCACTAGCTTTTTTTTTTTTTTGTGAGGAACATCGGCCCAAGCTAACATCTGCCAATCCTCCTCATTTTTTTGCTGAGGAAGACTGGCCCTGGGCTAACATCCATGCCCATCTTCCTCTACTTTATATGGGACGCCGCCACAACATAGCTTGCCAAGCGGTGCGTCGATGTGTGGCCGGGATCCAAACCCGTGAACCCCGGGCCTCCGCAGCAGAGCGGGAGCTCTTAACTGCTTGTGCCACCTGTCTGGCCCCAGCACCAGCTTTTGTGTTAGGCAAATTCGGATTCCATGATTCTACCACTTAATGACTATGGAACTTGGGCAAATTACTTACTTATGAATGTCAGTTTCTCTATTGTTAAGGTGAGAAGGGCGATGCCTACCTGACAGCATCATCATGAAGGTTAAATGAATTAAGTATGTAAAAGTGTTTGGCACAGGATCTGACATGTAGGTAGTGCAGAAAATTAAAATAATTATTATAATTTGCATGCTGCTTGGGAACAAACACCTCAATTTGAATAAGACAAAGCATTTACCTTCAAGGAACCCACAGAGTGATGATTAATAATATGAGGTAAATGCAATGTAGAGAAATCTAAACTAGGCCAAGTGGGATCAAGGAGGTATCCCTGAAGTAATGAGAGCTAAAATGAAACCTGAAGGATGTATAGTCTGCCAGGAAATTATAAGAATAGGAATTTTAGGGGCTGGCCCAGTGACGTAGCAGTTAAGTTCATGCACTCCACTTCAGTGGCCCGGGGTCTGGGGGTTCGGATCTCGGGTGTGGACCAACGCACCGCTCATCAAGCCATGCTGTGGTGGCATCCCGTATAAAGTAGAGGAAGATGGGCATGGATGTTAGCCCAGACCCAATCTTCCTCAGCAAAAAAAAAAAAAAAAGAGAGAGAGAGAGAAAAAAGAATAGGAATTTTAGGCAAAAGGAACAGTGATGAAGCAACATGGTAATTGGAGTTTTGGGAGCAAGTAAAGGAGTAGAAGCTGAGGAAGTAAACAGGGAAAAGCACTTAGACCTTCAGGTTTCATGTAAGATGTTGATTTTTAGTCTTTTTGAGGCTGTTTCCTGGTTTTATAAAAATGTGAAAAATCATAACTTGCAGATTTGTTGTGAAGTTTAAATAAGTACAGATGTTGCCTAAGAGTATTTCCCTTATAAGACACTCAATAAATTATATCTATTCTTATTATTGATCCATGGATGATTAGAAGCCATTGAAGAATTTAGCAGGTTTGTGTGAAAGGTGGATCAATCTTACATGACAAGTGGATTTGAAAGAGTGCAAAATTGGAAGCAACTGCAACAATTCAAGAACGAAAAGACAGTAGCGAAAGGCAGAGAGATTTAGGACAGGGGACTGCTAGAATTTGGATCAGCTGGATATAGGAATGAAGGAGGCAAAGGAGATGGGATATAATCAATGAAGGAGTCTAGGTTAGGAACACCTTGAGATCTCCGTTTTCTTTTAATATTCCTTTGTGGTAGCAGCTATAGAAAATATATTTTTTACAATTATTTTCATAATCTTTCTGGTGCGGGATTGTAACATATTTCCTCATTTCTCTGTGAGTCATTCTCTTGGTTCCAAGCTATATTAATACACTATTTCTTACAGGAGGATATCTTTGACAACCTAAAAGAAATTAGTTGGTATCGCATACAAAATTAGAATTAACTTATTCTGTAGGATGTTTGTGATAATTACTTTCAAATAATTATTTGTAAAACAAAAGCTATATCGATAATTGTAGCCAAAATTATCAACTGTGTAGAGATTTTGTTTATGCTTCCCAGTCTACTTTGGCAGTTTGTATCTGGGTTTAAAATCATTCTAAAGGATGGGCCAGGTGCCGGCCCCATGGCTGAGTGGTTCAAGTTCCACGTGCTCAGCTTCGGCGGCCTGGGTTTGTGGGTTTGGATCCCGGGCACAGCCCTACATCACTCACCAGCCATGGTGTGCGGCATCCCACATACAAAATAGAGGAATATTGGCACAGATGTTAGCTCAGGGCTGATCTTCCTCAAGCAAAAAAAAAAAAAAAGAGGAAAATTGGCAACAGATGTTAAGGCAGAGTGAATCTTCCTTAGGAAAAAAGAAAAGAATGGGCCAGACACCTGTGAGATTGGGAAAATACATTCTAAAGAAGGTAATATAGTTTTTTTCTTGTCCTTTTAAGTATGAGAATTATTCGTTTTTCAATCATGCAAATAATACATGAATACATGTTCAATGTAGAAGAATTCAAACAATATAGAAATATAGGGAGTAAAAAGTAAAATTACCCCTTCACTTTCTCCCTGCCACCCTCTTCCAGAGGAAACCACTATTAACAATTTGATTTGTATCCTTTTCCACAAACGTGATTACATATATTAAGTCAATTAAAAGTAAGAAAAGGTCAGTTATAGCAGGGAAGTTAAACACACAGGCATTGAAGCCAGGCTGCCTGGGTTCAAATCCAGACTCTACCACTTACAACTGTGTGATATTGGGCATCTTATCTAACTTCACTGTGCCTCAGTTTCCTCATAGGTGAAATGGAGATTATAATATCTATTTCACAGAGATGTTATGAGGATTAAATTAGTTAGTATATGTGAAATATTTAGAAAGGTGTCTGGCACATAGTACACACTCAATACATGATGGAATCATACTGTATGTATTGTTCTGCAACTTGCAGTCCCTCAGTGCACATAGAAGTAATACAGTGTAGAGATTAAGAGCACGGGTTCTGAATTCAATTGCCTGGTGCAAATCCTAGTTCCACCATTTACTAGCTTTGTGACCTTCCACAAGTATATAACCTTTCTCTGTCTTTGTTTCCTCTGTATAATGGAGAAAATAGCTTCTGTTTTAAATTAAGCAGTATGTGTAAAACATTTAGAATGACCGTTATCTAGTAATTACTTAATAGATGCTTGTTATCATTCCATCCTTAAAATTCCTCAGTTTAGTATTTCCTATAATAGATTTATCATAATTTATCTAACCATTGCCTTATTGATGGCCATTTAAGTTATTTTTAATTATTCCCTGTTACAGAATATGCTGGGTGCCGCACTACATTTTTTTACTTAAAAAAAAAATAACCTTGTCTCTATCTTCACTTGAATGAGGAAAGCTATTGCTCTTCACATTTCCCACTGTCATTGTATTTTGCGTCTTGAGTAAACACTTTCAAGATCCTCTTTTGGTATGTGAGCATTACCATACCATATATGAGATCAACCCACATCATTTTCCTATTAGTTTGGTTCAGTCCTAGGGTATGAATGGAAAGCAGAACCATTTCATTTTGTGTGGTTAAAGTTATCTTTCTGAGGTGTAAGCAAAAGCTGAGAAACAAACAAGTCAAAAGGGACTTTCCTGTGTTTGTACTGTTGGAATATCAGAAGACTGAATCTTTAGATATCCCGACATCGAGAAAGGTAAGTCTAAATTCTTACATATTTTGGGTCATATAGTTTTATTTTCTTCCAAAAAGCCTTTATATACGAATAAGTAGGTTTCTGGGAAACATTTATAGTAGACACTATAGACCTATAAAAGGAAAATTGTGTCTTAAATCAAATCTGCTTTTTCCTTCTGTACCCTTGTAGAGTTTATAGGGAAAATTGGAAATCTTAAAATTGCACAAAAGAACCATTAAAAAAGACTGAAATAAGTGCTTCTAGAAATAAGATTTAAGTCTGAAAGAAAAGAGAGGAAGGAAAGAAGGAATGGAGAGAGAGACGGAGAGGGAGGGAGGGAGGAAAGGAGAGAGAGAGAGAAGGAAGAAAGGTAGGAAGAAAGGGAGAGAGGGAGGAAGAAGGAGGGAAGGAGAGAGAAAGAGAGAGAGAGGGAGGGAAAGAAGGAAAGAAAGAAAGAAAAAGGGAGGAAGGGAAGGAGGAAAAGACAAAAGAAAAAGAAAAAAGCGTGGTAGTGAATTTAACAAACGTATTTACATTAAAATTATTGATAAAGTAATTGGCTACATTTATAGTCTAAATCAGAAAGTTTTCATGAGTTCAAACTATATATAAATATCCATCTCTTGTACACATTTTAAAGTATAGTAATTTTTTTCAATGTGTGATTCAAATGACATTAATAAAAACACAGTTAAGACCAATTCTTTGAAAGTAGGCTTAATTTTAAGTAGACTATTTGAAGATAGAGGAAGGGTTAGGCACTTTAATAACTTTTAAATAAATCATTTATGACAGTTAAATATATATATTAAAATAATTATGCATTTGTATAAGTGTACTTTTTAAAACATTTGCATGTATACCATATAATATTATCCTGATAATAACCCTGTGAAGAAAGCATGGGAGTATTATTATCATCATTTAATTGATAGGGAAATTGAGACCCAGGATTGGTAAATAAATTACCTGATATTAAAAAGTTAATGGCAGAATCAAAATCCAAGTCTCCTTACTCCTGGTCCTACTCTCTATCCTTTGAGCAATACTGCCTCCCTAAATCACTTGTGTTTCATGTAGGAGATGAGTCTTCATTTGAAATTTTAATGTATGTTGCCTTAATGAGTTATTTTATATTACAGGAATATACTGCACTCTTCTGTTTAGAAAACTTGTCTAACAAAATGCTTGGAGAAGCCTTCCTAATTGAACTCCTATACAAAGAACAGAAATATACAAAATATTGCAGACCACTTACATGTAAGAAGACCTCAAATGATGAAAAGGAAACTTGGAAAAAGCAGCTTTTAGATATAGAAGACAATTCACTTTCCCCTGAGAAAATGGAAAATCAAGATAAGGTTGTGAAAGAAAGTTTAACAGAGCAAAGTAATAGTACAAATAAAATAAAATCTGTGGATGAGGTAACTGTAGCTAAATGCAAAAGTGCATCCCTTCCAGGAAATGTGTCTGTTGCATTGCCCATTCCAAAGAGAGAACAACATGATGAAAGACAACTGGATTTATACCGATCTTGGTCGTGTACAAGTATTTGCCAGAATTATCCTGACCTACAGATTGGAGGAGACCACGTGGGAAACATGTATGACTCAGGCTGCTTTGTGGAACACATACGTGATGATGCTTTTAATGGTCCCCTTTTACTTTCAGTAGATATACCATTGGGTCATTCTCCTGTCATTGAGCCTCTAGAGAAACTACCTGCCTCAAAGCTTTTGAATGGGGATGAAATTCGAGAAAAAAGTATGCTGATTCATAAGCAGCCCCTCTCTAATTCTATGCTTAATAGTTATATGGAAAAAAAGGTGGATGAACTCTACAAACAATTTTTGGAAGAAAATCTCACTAGGTGCCACTCAATAACCAATCTTATGGCTTCCAATTTGCTAATGAATAATGTAAATCAGATTAGCCTTCAAATCTCTCAAGAGCAGAACATAGAGGAATCGAAAGCTCGGGAAGCTCTCCTACATTCTTTAGCAAGATGTAATCTTCATAATGTTTATGGAAACAATTCTGAATTCAGCACTCCTAACTTACAAATATCAAACCAGAGAAGTAGAGAACTTGTATCACATCTACAATAGGAACCATTTGTACATTGGTTGGACTGACTTAAGAGACTAGAGAAACAATAGTCTTCTCTGGCTTATGTTACATCAGGCCTCCTTTGGAGTGTGGTTATTACATTTTTTTGAGAAATTATTTGACCAATGGTACATCTGAATTCTTGTAGGAGACAATTTTAGTACTTAAGTTTTATGACCATATTTTCTAATTGTTTTGACATCTTTAATGGTTGCCATATTCAAGTTTGTATATTCCACATGTGCTTATCTATCTAATTGCCACAGGCATCCCAAATTAACCTCATCACTCTCACACATCAGCTTTATTTATCACAAAAGTGGTAAAAAAAAAAAAAGTGAGACCAGGAGAAGATTATTACTGCCAGCTACTGAAAGGACCACTAAAAACTATATCATACAGGAGCTTTTAGTTCTCCACAAAAATGTTTAAAGACGTATGAGTAGTGCTTAACATCCTTCCTTTTATTTTCAACATACAGGATCTTTTACACTGATAATCAGAATAGACTAGTGGAAATTCTTCAAACAAAAGTTGGATTTAAGTGATATTTGAAACAAATATGGAAGAAAGGCTTGAGAAAAGATGGAGAATTTGCTGTTGAAATTTGATTCTTTTGAACTTTCCTGGGACAAGCATCAACTTTTTTATATCACTATGTTATGCACGGTGATTTGCAGGAATGGGAGGAAGAAAAGCATACAGATAAAGTGAACAAAGTGCATAGAGAACCACCATCTAGAAATGAAGAGGCTCCCTTGGCAACTTGTTACACTTCTCAGATTATCTTCCATCAACATCCTGGTTTAGGATAAAAGTTAGCAGGATGTTATGGCAATTTTGGAATATAAATTAAATAAATGAATTAACAAAATATACCTAAAAGAATGGTACAATTTGTTGCAGACTTGGAAACAAGACCCTACACTTAACAGCTCACCCTTCTCCTGGATATAGTAAAATGATTGGAATGCACTTTTGCTTGTAAAATAAAATGATATGAATTTCTTTTATGGAATTCTTATAACTGCATTATACCTTAATAAGATTTGTGTATTAGTAATCACATATTCCCTTCCACTTATCTCTCTGGTCTTGGATTAAATTTTATAGAATGAGTTACCACAATGCGCTCACAGCTTTTTTTTTTTTTTGTGAGGAAGATAAGCCCTGAGCTAACATCCATGCCAATCCTCCCCTTTTTGCTGAGGAAGACTGGCCCTGGGCTAACATCTCTGCCCATCTTCCTCCACTTTATATGGGACGGCACCACAGCATGGCCTGACAAGCGGTGCATCAGGGTAAGCCCGGGATCCGAACCTGGGCCGCCAGCAGCAGAGCTTACACACTTAACTGCTATGACATGGGGCCTCCACAGCTTATTCCTTTTGATCACACAATTCTTAGTTTATTTTCATCCTCTTCAAATTTCTATGATCTTATAATAAGTACCCCTAATTTATCTTCTGTTTTTATCTTCATCACTCCTTTCCCCAATATCTTCTCCCATAACCCTCCCAGTCCATATCCATCATTCAGACATTTGATTCTGAAGAGACAATGGGTAGGAGTTTTGGGAACACTGACTTAAATGTCTTGTAGATATTGAAAAACAATTGTGTGTACATTGTCTTATATATTGCTAAATTTGTACATTTTAATATGAATTACCAAAATGATAAAATATTGATATTAAATTTAATCTTTTCTAAAGTGAATTAAATGTCATTGGGCAACATTATTGGTGTGAAGTTTTCTTAGATATAGTGGTATGTATTAATACTTTATCAATGAGGCAGATATATTCATCAATAGTGTTAAGACTACATAGTATTATATAAAAAGCCACAATATTTAACTAATATCAACTTTAGAAATGTATTTAATTATACTCTCAGATTTCAATTTTTTCTCTCTTGTTTATGGCATCAAAATGCTTATTATCTAAAGATACTCACTTATTGTTAAAATGGCCTAGAATTCAATGCAATATTTAAACAAGGAAAGATGAAAAAGTTGGTGTTATTTTTTATCTTGACCTCATACCTACTACCTTTAATGCTTGAATGAAATATTCCTGAGGTTGTGGTTTATATTTTGGCCTTAAGTAGTCACTCTTCATTCTGTGTTTCATCATAGGTTTCACTTACATGACCATACTGTTCCCCTTAAAATGTTATTTGAAATGTACGGAGTGATGAATTTCTGTCTCACTTTTTCAGAAGTTGAAAGTATTAGTTTTCTGCTTCTATGAAAATGGAAAATGTTAATGATTCAGCAGTTGGGGAGGATCATCATATTTCTGGGCAGGGAATAAGTTGAGGAGGTTAAGAATGATGCCCAATACAGTGCTGCTACCTACTTGTATAGGTCAGTTTAATTTATATCCCATCTTTGGATTTCAAGTCACTATTGTAGGGCCACGAGTGGGTTTGACCCAGTCTCAGGTAATTTTCTCTCAGGAGAGTCTTTGAATCATTGAAACCAATTCAAGGGATAGAGTCTATACTGGACTCCAGGAATTTTTAGGCTTTATCTGTTTGTCTCATGGGTTAGTCTCCAAAAGAAGTCAGTCCCCCTGAGGTTCTTAAGACTGAAGATAACACTGAGCTGGTCCATTCAAGGTTGTAATCAAACTTTCTGGCTCTTTCCAATCTTACCCTTAACATTTGGGTCTTATTAAAACTGGTTTTTGGAAGCGGGGAAACAAAATAAATAGTTCTCTAGGGATATTTTTTCACATGCTACTTCCCTTTTTGTAGGGCTGCTTTGGGGGCATGAGTAGAGTAGATCTTTATATATATACACATATATTTATCTTCAAATAAAATGAATCTTCAGGTAATCTAATATAGCATTACTACATAATGTGTGTTTGATTGAAGGGTGGAGGGGTGGCTTGATGAAGATTAGTGTGTTCAGTAAACTTGATTAATGTGCAGTTAAGTGGACAGTTGTTTTCAGTCAATACAGGAAAGAAAGAAATCAACAAAGCAATAACAAAAAAATCCATGAAATCAAATTAAAAGTGATTTAATGTTTTCATGACTAGCTATTTGCATAGAAAATTAGCCAATCAGCTACAAATGTGTGAAAATCCAGGAAAAACAAAGTAATATTTGAAAGGAGAAAAAATGATGGCAAAAAAGTGTTCTCACTTTGTTAACATAAATATAACTGCCCTTTTAAGAAATGCTTATTGGAAATTTGGGACTTTTGATCCCCAATCATATTGTTGTGTTCTTTTCCTCAAGGTCTAGTAGAAATTTGTAAAAATGGTCTTATTATTATCTGTTGGTTTCATGTTTATTATGGTGTAAATGCACAGCATCACTTGTAATTTCATGAAATAGCCTTTTATTTATTTATTTATTTATTTATTTCCCCCAAAGCCCCAGTAGATAGTTGTATGTCATAGCTGCACATCCTTCTAGTTGCTGTATGTGGGACACGGCCTCAGCATGGCTGGAGAAGCAGTGTGTCAGTGCACGCCTGGGATCCGAACCCTGGCCGCCAGCAGCGGAGCATGCGCACTTAACCGCTAAACCACGGGGCCAGCCCAGAAATAGCCTTTAAATAATTATATTCAAGAACATATCTATAAAAATGATGAGAACCAAATTAAGTTATACTGACATCAATTAAAAATACTGAATCATTACTATGGGCAGCTAATTCTTTGAATTGTTCTGCTATTTCTATTTAAAGCTGAGAAATTTGTAGCTTACAGAATTGCAATGCAGTTCTGGTTTTTACTTCCCCAAATGAATAAAGGCAGTTTATTATGAGAAACATAAATTGTCATAAGACCTTGGTTTTATCTGAGAGTGACTAAAGTTCATAGGTAGGCTATTTCCTGGAATTTATTTCCCTCTACAATTGTAAACCGGATCCATATCTGCCAAATAGACTTTGAGTAGAATTGAAAAACAGCTCAAGATCCCAGTGACTTGTGTGGTTCTGCCTCTCTCCTTTAAGGGTTCAGCCCTGCTTTAGGGAAGCCATGTAATTGTAGAGCAGCTTTGTATTCTTTTCCTTAGGTGAGGCTTAGGAATCGATATCTAAGGGTTCAAATGATGTAGGACTAGCTTGTGCCTGAAGCAGACCTCCAAGACCAGTTCAAGATCAGAATGAATTCTCAGAGCTTTCCATTCTCTAGAAAGACATATCCTCAGGACACTCTAGGTACTAAAAGAAACTGACTGGCTATTCATTAAACAGATATTTATTGAGCACTGTGATAGGCGAGCATAAATGGTGAACAAAATTGATGCAATTATTGCTTTTCACTAAGTTTATAGTCCAGTTAATGTTGAATCAAAGAGTGAAAGTAAATCACCACAATCCAACTTTAGGGCCATGAAAGTTATAAGCATGTAGATAACCTATGCTGGTATTTCTGCCTGCTTGGCCTGTTTGTAATCTAGTCTGAACCTTGTATCTAGGACTGCTATTTGATTGCCATCCAACCAGTGTGTCTCTATTGATTATTAAACATATTGGAATATTTCTGTGCCAATAGGTATGAAGCTGCTACCCCCAACATTATGAATCTTCCCACCATGACTACCCTGGCCACTCTGATCTCTCACTCTGGACCCTTGCTCCTTATGATCTAGCAACTAAAAAGACAAACAAAGGGGTTTTAGTACTCAGCTCCAATACTACCTGTGGCACTTTCTATTCATATAAGTTTTTAAATATTTTGACCCTCACTTCTGCTTGTATCTATTTCAGTGTTGAGATTCCTGATTCAAAAACCTGTGCTTTAACACTATTATTTCTAGTCTTGGGCCCTAGTTTTCTCTTGTAACTCCTAAGTAAATGAAGATGTATTCATGAACACCAAATCTTTTGGCATTCTTCACTGTTAGTCACTTTTTTTGATTCTCTCTTGTCTTGCTTTGAATCTTTATTGCTGTGTTCTTCTCTAAGGTCATTTGCTTCTTGATATATTACCCAGGTGCAGTTTGACTTACGGAATTATTGCCTGCCACATGTTGACGAAATTTAATGACCTGAGACACTAAAGAGTGGACCACAGCTTGGGTGTTGGATCTTGATTATCCTGAACATTCTACTTTATATTATTCCTGCTTTATATATCATCTCAGACCTAAAAGCTACTGATATTGCATTGTGCTTCATAACAGAAGTTATTTCTGTTTCAGACACTAAGTTATACTTTAAAGCTTAACTATAAAAAAGATACATGCCCTGAGAAGACTGGCTATCCATGTGAAGTTCTCTAAATTTCTACTAGAGAATTTTATCCACATAACTGAAGATTTTATTACCTGTTAAATGCCTGTCTACCTAACAGGGAGAATGCTATTAATAGTCATTGTCATTCAGTAATATTAATAACTACCATTTTGAGTATTTATCATATGATAGGCCCTCTACTAAGAGCTTTACTCACATTATCTTATTTAATTCTTTCAGCAACCTTATTAGATAAGTAATATTATCTTCCCCATTTTAGGCAGGAGGAAATGAAAGTTCAGAGATGTTAAAAAATTTTGCCCAAGATCATACAGCTGCTCAGAGTTGGAGTCAGTATTCAAATAAAGTCATTCTGACATAAGAATCTGTGCTGTTAACCTAAGGTTGCCAGATTTAGCAAATAAAATTACCAAATGTCCAGTTAATTTGGATTTCAGGAAAACAACAAATTGCTTTTTTTTTAAATAAATATGTCCCCATGCAATATTTGGGACATACTTACACTAAAAAAAATATTCACGTAACTGAAATTCAAAGTTTTTCCTTTGCTTTTTCCAGGGTGATTAAAAAAGGCAGAGTGAATGTTAAAGGTGTAGAGAGAGCAGGGGGACAGAACACAAAGGCATTGGGTGGAGAGCTGGAGTGACCCAACTAAGGGGGAAAAGAACAAGAATTCTGGAGGCTGTAAATCAAAGGTACCATTTTATAGTGCCATTATCTTGAAGGAGAGCTGAGGAAAAAAATTCATCTCCTGGGGACTTTATAGACTATCAGAGCTTTTCTTTTGTTGTAAGTGTGTTGAGACATTCCCTGTTTCAATTCTGTTACATGAGTAAATCATTCAGTGAAGCAGGTGGGAATAGAGCTAGAAAGAGAAGAGGGTTTGCAATGCGAAGATTTAAGTTTTACTAAAGTTC